TTTTTTTTTAAACGGAAGAAGGAAAAACTCCATTTATAAAAATACCCATGTACGTGTGGACATGGCCTAAGTCTTGTATGTGTCTTTACTGCAATTCTAAGCTTTGTATTGTGGTTCTCCTGTATCTTGGTTCCTGGTCTTGTTATTCTGCCTGTTTTCTGGATTACTCTGTTTGCCTCAGCCCCTTACTCTGTCATTGTTTTGGATTGCCTATTTGTTTTATGACCTCTGCCTTCCTTTGGATTACGTTTGTGGATTATCCCTTCAATAAACTACTGCATTTGGATCCTCTACCTTCGTGTCCCCGTGCAGATTATGACAATTACAAAGTATTTCTATTTTCAAATAAAAGCTGTTCTTTTGAATTTTGTATTTCTCAAACAATCCTAAAAAACATTGTATCATGGTTTCCACAAAAATATTAAGCAGCACAACTGTTTTTAACATTGAGACTTTTTCCAAAAACATAAAAACAAACATACCAACCCCAAATCTTTAAAAGATAGTGTACATTTTATATGCATAGTTTGCTCAAAATTTCAAAACTGTCGTAACTTACTAAAATAATAGCCATGTCGTTTTCTTTTTGGAACACAAAAAGTTGAATTTTTGAAAAATACTTACAAAATATTAAAAATCTCAGCCAATATGTTCAATATATGAAAGTGAATAAGGATGGGGGCTGACAAGCTCCACAATGACAAAAAAAAACATTAAAATAAAGGCATTTCATTCACTTTAAGTCTTCTGACATCATACAATAGCTTTGTGTGAGGAACAGATCAAAATCTTGATCAAAAAGGTTATTCACTGAAAAGTTCACACACCCTAGCTCTCCTTGGTGTATTCATGAGAGAAGAAGTGATGACTGATTCTTGAAGCATATCTTTTTAATGAATCGATTGATGCAGTTCACAAAAGCAGTCTGAATGATCATGCAAGATCACAAATTGAACTGATCCAGTTCTTGAGTTCACCTCCCTAAGCCACTGATCCAGTTGTAGCAGTTAACAGCTCACTTAAAAGAAAAATTATCAGTGAATAACCATTCAAATCTGTTTGTCACACAAAGCTATCATACATCTCAGAGATATATCTCCAGTTCGCACTTCTCGTAATTGCATGGAAAAGAGCAAATTACATCATTAAAAAAAATCTGTCTTTTCGAGTTCCACAGAAGAAAGTCAGTACTCAGTAATATGGTTTTGGAACAACATGAGGGTGAGAATTTTTTTTTTTTGTGTGAACTAATCTTTTAAGATATAGTAAAGGCAAGATTAAGAGCAAGTCATACAGCTCTGAAGTAGACAGGGTAAAGGGCGTGTGACCTAATTTGAAAGTGCATGGAAAATCGATTTCATACTCTTCTGAATAAAGCAGCATCAAAAATCTTGCACTCTTTAAAAGCGTGTGGGCAATAACTCTGGACTTATTCCTCAGAGGAATAAGCAATATTACATATATCCTGTAGAGATCAGCTTTAACAACAGCTTTTATTACATTTTCTCTTTCCAGCAGTTGTTCTGGCCTGCAAGATACTCTACTATTACAAGTACAAAACACAATGAGAATTGCTCATTTTGTTTTGCATAAGAGAAATTAATTCACTTTCAATGGGCCATTCGAATAAAAGCATAGTTTGAGGAGAAATCTGACAGGAATGTTGTTGATCATGTGGTCTTTATCTGACTGTAGTCAGAGAGTGCAGGGGCATTCTGTACTGATCACCAGCTGGTCTGTCTAGCCATGCTCTGATGTAATCTTACAACTCACCTTCCAACCAGACGGAACCAGGGAAAGCGGTCGTAGAATGGATCGCCTCCAGTCAGCACACTGTCACAGTCCTCAAGAGCACTGCCAGGCACCTCAGCAGCACGATCATACATCTCTCTCATCAGATCCAGCCTCTGCCTGCAGGGGGAAGCATTACACATCACTTATAATGTAAATACTAGATACACTGTGAAACCCAAAGTGACTCAAAGTATAGCTGGATTTCTCTTCAACTACGAGCATTTTATATTTCAGAACTTCATTTTCATTACAAGTAATACTTTTTCTTTTTAATGTCCTGAAACAACATGCCTTCATTATTTTTGCTACCTTTCAAGCAACTTTTATGTATAAATGTTATCGTTTTACCCTTATCTTAGACTTTGAATCCTAAAACATGAGATACCATGATTAAAATATTAAAGTGCCCCTATTATGCCATTTCGAATATTGCCATTCATGCAGTGTGTAATGTAGCTGTATTTAAATGTAAATGATCTGCAAAGTTGTAAAGCCAAAAGTGCAAGATAAATAAAGTTATTGTCTCTCAAAAGAAAGAATCGACTCTGATCAGCCGAATCGAGTCATCAGTAAACTGAATCCCACTTCTGTGATGGCTACATGTCACAGGGAAACACATTTGCATAATGCCCACCTATGTTCTATGTTGACCGGCTGCAAACAACTTGACCCTGCCCTCAAACACTGTAGTTTGTTTGTGTGGTAAACATCATGTCGAGAAGATGCTGTGAAAGTAAATTCATTTTATTTTAATTTCCGAATGAAGAGGCTGCAAAGAATCAGTGGTTAAAATTCATTTTTTCCACTGTACCACAGCAGTACAACCCCAATCTTTTTTGTGTTCCTGTCATTTTACTGATGACTGCTTCTCTAATCTCGGGGACTTCAACGCAGGATTCACAAAACGCTTGCTCTTGAAAGATGGCTCAGTACACAGTTTATTTGGACCAGCTGGCTCCACTGAATCACAACCTGTAAGTATGATTAATAATTGATGATGTTTATATTTTCTATCAAGCATTCAAAATACAGAACTATGGCAATGGGCGTATCGTTTCTGAAACACGCTGTATGAGGTAGGCCAATCACAACAGACTGGGCCATCTGACCAATCAGAGCAAGAGTAGTCTCACGGAAAGGAGGGACTGAATCTTAGAACTGCTTCAAACTAATCGTTTGAGAATGGTTGGAAAATGAGGTGATGTTAAATACATATTTTGAGAAAATAAAATTTTTTTTTGACCTTGCATGCATGTAAACCTATTGTAAAAGACTCCCAAAACAATATTAGGAACCTTAAAAATGGCATAATAGGGGCACCTATCAAACATGCGAAAATTACCTGAGCTTCTCCAGGGTCCAGTAATGTGTGGCTCCATTTTTCTGATCTTGGACTTCTACAGCCACAATGGTGCGAGGGAATGGGCTTTTCTCGCGGTCTTTAGCTGTCTCAGGTGGTAACAGGTCAGGTGAAAGTGGAGAGTAAAGCGTGTCCGTCAATAACACAAACTGGAACTGAACCTGTGAGTGGCATTAGGCACAATCAATAATGATGTTGTCATATTTTATAGGTTTAGCAGAGTGATGCAGTTCTTTCTGGTCTTTCTAAAGTGTTCACCTTCTTTTTTAGCTCCACGCTAATGGCATTGGCCTCCTTGAGGAAGATGGCATTGCCCCAAAGCAGATCTCTGAGAGAAGTGAACTGATAACATCTCCATTTACGGAAAGCCCACAGCGCCAGTTCTGTCTCTCTCTCAGTCCATTGCACTATGAGTATAAGAGATTGAATACAAGAGGCACAGTTATTTAAACCGAGTCATTGTGATTAGTTCAAGCTGTTCAAAAAACAAAATGAACCATTATTTGCCATTCGCAGTCTAGTCACCTTCCTCCTGAGGTTCTTCATCTTCCTCTGCCACATCAGGGTAACAACGATTTACCTGTTTCTGCAGGGCTTCTAACCTGCTCTCATAGTCCTGTAAAAGACATACAGTATAGTGAAACATCAACAATAAAACAGTGTCATTTTATACTAAATTGTAAAGTTATGAGTTTAGGGGAAAAAAAGTTTTATTTTAAGCTCTTTATGCTGTTTATGTCACTTACTAATCTCTGTTGCTCCAATAGATTGTTGGCCTCCTCTCTCTCTTTGCGATACTGATCCTCAAGTTCCTGCAGTCTATACAAACAAAGAGCTGATGAGTTTGACAACACAAATGTCACATCTTAAACTTATTTGAATGAATTTCCTTCATGTTTCTTTTACCTCTGATCCATTTCCTGTTTCATATCAATGCCCTGTTTCTCCAGGAGTTCTCTCTGAGCAAAGGCCCAGTCTACAGGCTCCATTGGCGTCTCAGCGCAGGGGGTTCGTTCACGTTCCTGACGAGCCTGCTCTGGATGGTTGAAGCGGAACACATGGCTCTTGCCCAAAATGATTCGGTTCCCTAAAAAAGTCAATACAAATAAATAATAATAATAATAATAATAAAAACTTTACACAGACTGTTTCATTCTGCAAAGATATGCATAAAAGCATTTTGAAATGGCATACCAATTTCAAAAATAATTGATTTAAAATATTAAATCACATATAAATTAATTTAAAAAAATGAAATCATAAGTAAACAAATGTTAAAAAATGGAACCATGAATGATTTAAAAAAGTGAAATAATAAATAAATGAATTAAAAAATGAAATCATAAACATTCAATTCAAATAAAAAAAAATTATGAATTAAATAAAAGCTATATAATTGGAACCAATCCATAATGTTTTAAAAAAGTAACGTAGCAGGTGAGGGAAAAGTGTAAACAGACCTGATTTGAGAACCGTAGGCTCTGTTACTCTCTTCCCATTGACATAAGTTTCTGCTCCCTCACACGGCTCAAGAATGACAGCTGTAAAAAACAGGAGGAACAGCCATAAGGATTGTGGTATATATGTGTACGAGTATGTGTGTCTGTGGAGTGCGCCATTAACAAACCTTCTCCCATAGGTCTAGTGGTGCTGGTGAAAGTGCAGTGTTCCTCTTTGATGAAGTGACCACTCAAAACAATGTCCTGTCTTCTGCTGGCATCTTCTCTCCCCACCCTGAGCACAGCAACATATCAAGACACCTTAGTACCAATTCTACTGAACAGAACATATATGTCAGGTTTATATGCACAATGGAGAAAAAGAGAAGCTTGGATTGGCACTAACCTGGTAATTCCATCTTTGATGTAATACAGAAGACACTCAGACATTAAAGGATCTTCATTTAGATTCACCAGGTGGGGCGTCTGTAATCAAGGCACGAATCAACATTACAGGTTTTATATTTACTGAATGATATACCAGTGCTTGCGAGGCAGCAATTGAATAGTTTCAGGTAAGTTTAGGTTCTTGGCTTTGGTTCTGTGTTAATGCTAAACTCCACAGTAAGGTTGCACTGCTGTTGTCATTATAATGAGAAGGCGTCTTGTTTTCTGTCAGCTTTATACTAGAATCAATACCTTCATTCCACAGTCTAAATGTGACTATAAATGGACATAGTTGGAATGAAACAGAAACTCTGATAGTTTTTTTCCTCCCTATTGTGATGTATATCTGAGTATAGCCTTTGTCCATTGGGAAGTGACTGGATTGTTTACTAATTGCTAAAATCTCATGTGACTGATCACAATTGGTAAGCATCACAATTCACAATTCAGTATACATTAAAATTACATTACATTTTCAAATGCCGAATATGCTGAAGTTGGAGATTTTCATTTTTTTTTACCTCTTGAAGTATGAATAATGGGGCAAAAAAATGAAACAAAAGATGCAATTATCAACAGAAAAAGTTTCAATGAAGTCTATGCACTAAACAGTTCAGGCTCAATTATGTGCAGATGTTTAATACTTGGAATCAACAATTTAAATCAAATTCTAGCCAAAATGTTTGCAAAACATCTGTGTATCGCTGCCTTGCGAGCACTTTCAAAATGTATTTAGACAACCTTTTAAAAGAGGAAAATAAGATAGAAGTCAAACAATTTTACTGACAGCCATCTTTACACCAAGTTTTAATTTCAATATCCATCAAAATGCATGCGATAAGATTTAGATATCACAAAATTGCATAAGATTCCAGACAGAAAGCCTTTAAAAGCATCATGGGGCCATGATGCTTTAGATCTGAAGTTTTCAAAGTGCTTCAAAGTTTATTATAAAGACTAGAAGGAATTGCAGCATATCAACATTCATATAATGAGCAACAGATCCCTCAATAAAGATCACAGATGCATTTAAAAGCGCTCTGATAGGAAAAAGACACAGAGGTACATTAGAACAGTCAAAGAGGAGCGATCAGGATGCAATCACACAGTATCCATGGCAACCAACCTCATTGGGAGAGAACAGCCCAACAGTGTCTATAAAAACGGGCTGAGGTTTTCTCTGCAAGGACTTCCAGAAGAGGAACGTAAAGACAATCACAGGCTTATTTGGTTATTTGAGCAAGCATATTAGCCTTAATATGTGGTCTACCTGCACACGGTTTCTCCCTACAGCCTTTATAATTTTTTACCTTCTTTGGTGAAAAGACTCCAACAGTTCCTCCATCCTCACGCATGGCCACACCCATCTCAGCCAGCAGTGCTTCTCTGTAAAAACCAATTTAGGTGTTTTTCATATGTTAACTTATACATAACGGAAAACTGCTTATCAATCACATAAGGCTTCATACAACAAACCTGTCCATTCTGATGGCTTCTGTACGGCGAAGCTTCTCTTCCCAGGTTTCATTGAGCTCAGCAATAATTTTCTCCGTTTCCTAATTGGCATTGCAAACAATATCAAGTTAAAATACGCCACAAAGTCTATGGTAAGTTTTATACATTTATTAATCTGAAACTTATATCTTTAAACAGCAAATGTCAATATAGTTTTTGGGGTTAGTTATTCATTTCAATGGTAGGTGCTTGGTTGGTCTTTGCTAATAGGTGCTTATTTCTGCAACCTTTCTCTTTTGAACCAATTTCCAGATTGTGATCATATGGCTAATTTTATTTTATTTTTGCAGACTGAACATGTTCAATTGGGGTTTGTTGGGTCATGGAATATTTGAGAAGTGACTGTAATCTGGTGATATTCAGTGCTGCGTCTGCGTCAGTTGGTACACACCAGTAAATTAGCCTTCAAAGGTACAGTTATAAGCAGTGTTATTTTAGTATTATTTTTATACTATCGTAGTATTTACTCATATTTTAAATGACCTTTTATTTTTATTTTGTTCATTTTATTTTCAATTTAAGTTTTAGTAAATTTGTTATGTTTTGTCATTTTTATTCGTTTTTTTATGCCTATATAGCTTTATTTTATTTCAGTTTTAGTACTTTTAGTACATTTTTGTACTTCAACTTAAATATATTAAGTTGAATAATAAACTTGAATAATATTTAGTTGAATAATAAATATGTTAGTTGCCAAGCCAACATTTCTAATTTTCATTTAAGTTAAAATGTTTAACTGAATATTTATATTTTATTTAAGCTTTATTTCAATTAACGAAAATTATTTTTAATAGTTTTAGTTAATAATAACACTGCTTGTAAGTACAGTACAGCAACGCTAAGGGAATAATTTTTTTTTTTTTTTAAATAACGATATGACCCTTTTAATCTGAAGTTGTATAAGGCAAATGTTTGTCAGATGTCTATTTAAAGGATTTCAGTCAGTTTTGTCCGGGTTTCATGCTTTATGCCAGTCACCTTGAGTCTCTCAATGGCTTCCTCGCTCCCTGGGCTGAACATGATGCGATCATGGAGGCTGCTGATGGAACCAGCTCGGCTGGACAGGGCGGAGAGAGATGAGGAGGGGCTCATCCCCGTCACAGCATTGGTCACTGTGGAGAGATCACCTCTTTGATTGACAGCTTGGCCACTATTGTTATTGTTCTTGTAATCGGATATGTCTGTCGGGGAAGGGGGAGAGAGGTGCGGGGGGGGGA